TACTAAATAGCATATTGCCCCCAACAATTTGGGTCCTCATTTTACCCACCTCGGAAGGATGGAAGCTGAGTCAACCTTGAGCCAGTGATATTTGATCCGCTGATCTGCTGAACTAGCAGTCAGCTGAAGTAGCTGCAGTACTGCACCCTAACCACTGCACCACCTCGGCTCTAAATATCTTATAAATAGAATCTTTGATGAAGTGGATTTTCTTTTTTATTACTATATTGAGTAACATAATTTCATTGGAAGACTTCAGAATGAAAATTGAAGCAACTCAGAAACAGATTTGTTTCAGCTCAGTGGTTCCAGTATCTTCTGCCTACCAAAACTACATATGTAGAATAATCATGGATTCCTCTTTCCTAGGCACAAATCCTATGTGCTAGATTCAAAATCTCAGATATTTTCAGAAAGTCTTGTCCAGCACAAAGCAAAAGATTTCCTCTCTATTTACCTATCTACTGAGCCACGGTGGCACAGTGGTTAAAGTGCAGTACTGTAGGCTACTTTTGCTGACTGCTGGCTGCCTGCAGTTTGGCAGTTCAAATCTCACAGCTCAAGGTTGACTCAGTCTTCCATCCTTCCGAGGTGGGTAAAATGAGGACCCAAATTATTGGGGGCAATATGCTGACTCTGTAAACTGTTTAGAGATGGCTGTAAAGCACTGTGAAGTGGTATGTAAGTAAGTGCTATTGCTACTCACAACTTTACCCAAGCTAACTATAGTATATGCTTTGCTTTAAGGACAGTGAAGAGATAGATGATGATGGGAAAAAACCACTTCTGTGAACTTTTTCTTTAGTTGTGATTGATGCAAAGAATGCAATTTTCACCCAAGGACTTATAGGTCTTCTTTAAAATATCAAAAGGTTTTAGGAATGAAATATTAGTGCCAAATATATATCAGACTTATCTTTTGTAACATAATTTTGTGTTAGTTAGTTTCCAAATGACCTTAATTTCTGTCTTTAAAAGAACTCCCTGAATTTTATTAAAAAAAGATACTCAATTTTCTGTGCATAAGAATTTTTTTTGGCATCACAGCTACATTTGTTATTTCCACGATCCACAACTGAACATTATAGAACATAGTTTGACAAATTGTGATATTTATGAGTATGTAATTACTGTATTTTTCGGAGTATAAGATGCACCTTTTTACCCCCCAAAAGAGGGTGAAAATCGTCTTATAGTCCAAATGTAACCCCTCCCAGCCTCTTAAATGGAAGTTTCAGAGACTGAAAAAGCCTCTGAAACCTCAATTTGAGAGTCTGGAAAAAAGCCTCTGAAACCTCTGTTTGAGAGGCTGGAAAAAAAGCCCCAGAAACCTCCATTTGAGAGGCTGAAAAAAAGCCTATGAAATGGAGGTTTCAGAGGCTGAGAAAAAACCTCCGTTTGAGAGGCTGAGAAAAAAGCCTCTGAAATGGAGGTTTGAGAGGCTGAGAAAAAACCTCCGTTTGAGAGGCTGAGAAAAAAGCTCTGAAATGGAGATCTGAGAGGCTGAAAAAAAAGCAAGGCGCAGAGCTCACAACCAATGAACCTGTTGCTAAAGTTCACCTCTGAGAACAGCTGATTGGGGGATATTCTGGGAGGCCAATACATCTCCAATCAGCTTTTTTCTTATTTTCTTCCGCAAAGTTGCATCTTATACTCCGGTGCATCTTATAGTCCAAAAAATATGGTAAGTCTTGTCTTTTACCTGTTTCAGAATGGTATATCCACCTGAATCCTGAGGATCAGTTATTTCCATCTCTAAATTCAGCTCTCATTCAATTGCTTTTAATTCACTTCATTCAGTTTCATTCAATTTATGGTTGCTTCCAGATAACTGCTATATACTGGCTCAGTTCTATAGATTTATGGAAAGGAAAGATGGGGGCCTTTTACATATTGCACAAATATGCATGACAATCTTTTTTCTGTCTTCTCTCTATGATAGTCTCTTAATTTCACCCCATCTTGTGAGTTATGAGATAACTGTATGTTGTCCTTAGCTGTATTGGTATTAAGTAGTATTTTACCATTATTCTAAGACTTTCCGAAAATAGCTTCAAGATGTTAGGCTCTGTCATCCATCACTTTGCAGCAAAGCTGAGTAACTGATGTGATTTTAAAAAGCTACAAGAGATGGACTAGGAACAGGGAATGGAACCAGCAAATTTTGTGCCAGCGTTGTTCTGCCAATTCAAGGATGGGTGAAAGCATAGGGAAAGACCTAAATATATGAGTTATAATGATATAATAATGCGAATGTGTACCAAAACTCCAAATCAGCAACTTCACATGAGCACTGAATAGATGGAAAAGAATGGAATTTAGAGGGATCCCACAACAAAGTCAAATAGAAATCTTTACTCTCCTCTTTAGGACTCAGCATTAAATTAGTGATCGCTTGATACTTCAAAATGAAGCTCAGCTACTCAGCTAGACATAGAAGACTTATAGATACAGCCTGGTCACATTAGAATGTTCATTGTTAACCAGAATGAAGCTATTGTTGATTTTACCAACTGCCAGTGGAAAATGTTCTGTACTTGGATGGCACAATAAGAAATCAATAAATGACTTTTATAGCCTTTGGATTTGTTATTTTTTTCAGGATGTAATAATTGACACTGTTCCCACCAATCTTTATCAGGTAGTCCTGCATTATTTGTGTTGCCAAATGATCTATCACATTAAACTTGAGGCTCACAATAAGGAAATAGGTGAAGCATTTAATTCCCCTCATGTCAGTGTTTTATCTTTTAATAATCTAATAGCTAGAACATAGTGCTAGGGAATGGCACAGAAAAAGAAGCTGAAATTCAATTGGCTGAGAAATTACCTCAGCAAACTTATTTTCCTTTCCTAGAAATAGTAGATACATCCCTTTGGAATCCAAGATCTGAAAGTCATGTAGGGAGAATGTAATCAAATAATATGTGATTAATTAAGTGATGAAAGAAAAGGAATGTTGTTCCCAGAACTTAATTAAGCACAGCCCAAACTCATTTGACAGGGCAGTGTTCCAGAAAACAAATTTTAGATAATAAAATCCTCTCTTGGATTTAAATAAAACTTTCTGAAAGGCAGAAATAGCTCATGGGCTATTTGAAGTCTATGATAATAACAATAATAACACAGGTATGCCTGTTGCTATTAAAGTGTGTTCTGATGTTATCAAACTTAAAAAATACATCAATATTTAATCAGTTTAATCAATTAATACACTTACTCTTGACTTAATTAATTTATATATTTTGGTATGGTTACTTTGGATCAAAACCCTATTTCTATGGTTTTGTGGAAATGACACTCAAGGCTAGAGAATCTGCTCAAAAGCTAATTCCAAAGCTGTAACAATTCATTCATGAGAAAATATGTTGAACATATTTGCATAAAGGGAGAGTTCAGATCAAAGAACTTAATCAGCATTTGTCAAATCCAAAGTGTAGAGTAGGGCTCAGGGTTATGGAATGAGAATATATATGTTATATATATCAGGAAACCATCTATGTTTTGTTTTTTGTTTTTTTTGCAGTTCACTAATGTAGGCATTGCTTTGGACTGTGAAGGACATCACAACATCTTGAATGAGCCCTGCATTCTTCCCTAATAACTTTTAGGGTGACCACAGAATAAACCATTCTAAGATTGTTAATTCTTGGTAGAGGAGAGAATGGGGCAAGCATTGAGCTCAGAAGCTAAACAGATCTGAGTTTCTAATATTTGGGTGCAAGATAAGTGGAGAAACTCTGGGCTCTAGCCTACAGTAGGAAATCAATCAATCAATCAATCAAGATGACAATAATAGTAAACCACTTCCATACTGTTGTAAAGCAAACCCTATGGATGTGTTCATGTTATCATCAGAAGCTGAGTTTCACTCAAAGGCAACTTTATTGTTTTAATGTCTTGCAATGTTCATTTTTACTCTTCAGATCATTTAAATACTGAAAGCTTCATTACATCTGCTTTATCATTTGTTCATCTTGGGCAAATAAAAACAAACATTCATGCTCAGCAGGACAGTTAATGGCATCCAAGAAAGTTCAAATGTTGTCTGAGCTTCAGGGGATCAGATATTATACGACATTTGCATTAAAACTATTTCCTAGTGAGACTTTGGCATAATCCTTTCACTCATGCATTTCCCATTAATACAGCAAGACCCAAAGCAGATTTCTCAATGAGACATGACCATTGGCCTGAAATTTTAGAAGCCAGATGCCCCTCTAGGTTTAATTGCTATTTTTCTATCAACTGATTTTTGTAATTGTATGTATTTTGTAATAGCGAATACATTGTTGGAAAGTCTCATAGACTTTTTATTTTTTTTGCAAAATTCATAAATTTTATATGGAACATTTATGCTCAAAATGAGGTATTGCAATCAAATACAAATAAAATTATAATATAAACATTAAAAAAGGGCAGAAACATGTACAAAAGACAGATAAATAATGAACACAAACAAAAACTAAGTTAGCATACTTATAGCAGCCATAACAAGGGAGTTTATGGACAAAAGCCTAAATGAAAAGAATGTCATTACCAGTTAATCAATGGACATTTCTCAATAAATATTTTCCTATTCAGACACGGTAAAGAACCAACATTAATTGTCTATAATATAACTGTATTATATCCATTTCAATAGTGAAATCAATTTTCACACGTCTGATTTAATTCCAATATTCAGTAATAAGGATAAATAAATGTGTTAATAAGTAGAATTGATAGTATACATTGTAAGTATGCATACATTCTCCTATTTATTTATAAATATATTTATAATAATTATAATATAAATATAAAATATTTATAAATATTCTCCTATTTATGGATAATGAAATGAATGAAAATAAATGAATGAATGAAAATAATGAAAATGAAACTCAGATTTCTGTAAAATTAAAATTATATTCTATCCTATGCAAAAAGGCCAAAATATTGTTTATACTTTATTTTTCTCAATACTTGTCATAAGTAAGGATTCTGCTTTCTTATGACAGAAAACAAGAACAGAAGTAAGAAAAATGTAATTAAAAATCCATTTTCCATTATACAAACTACAAGTATACAAATCTATAATTAAAAGGTAAGTGCTTCATGTTACACTTTTACTACCAAATTGAAGACAGATTATAAAAGAGAAACTTCTCATAAATGTTAAGGAACAATAAATGTCATGAAGTGGCTTTACAATGGCAAACATTAAATTTGTTTGCAGGCTTACCTGTAAATCATAGAAATAGAATCATAGGACTGGAAGAGACCTTGGAAGTCTTCTAGTTCAACCCCCAGCTCAAGTAGAAGATCCCATACCATGCTGGACAAACAGGTGTCCAATCTCTTATCATAGAATATCAGAGTTAGAGAAGACCTTGAAGGTCTTCTAGTCCAATCCCCTGCTCAGGCAGGAAACCCTACATCATTTCAAATAGGGGGCTGTCCAGTATCTTCTTAAAAGCCTCCAGTGAATGAGCACCCACAACTTCTGAAAGTAAGCTGTTCCACTGGTTATTTATTCTCACTGTCAGGAAATTTCTTCTTAGTTCTAGGTTGAATCTCTCTTTGATTAATTTCCATCCATTGTTTCTTGTCTTGCCTTTGGGTGTTGGGAAAATAGGTTGACTCCCTCTTCTTTGTGGCAGCCCTTCAAATATTGAAACACTGCTATCATATCCTTTATAGAAATGTTTGACTGTTGTCGTAATCTGGTGGAAACATCTTCATCTCTCAATATCCTATTTACATTACAGCAATGTGGTGTATTGTGTGTGGGGATGCCATTTAAAAAGATTCAGAGACTGCTATTTGAGAGGCAATCACTTCCCTCCCCTCACCTCCAGAAAACAAGTATAGTTAATAGCATCCAAGGCACTCGAATGTCCATGCTGTTCACAACTTGCGTTCTACTTTCCTTCATCTTGATCACTTGGACAGAACAGTTTTTAAGCTTTTGCTAATTTTCTTTCTTTTCAAAGGAGGAGCAGTTAGTTTAACCATCTGAACTTGTTATTGCAAGTAGCAAATGCTCTGTGGCGCTAGATTTTACTTTCAAACTGCAAATGAAATATTGATTCGGAATGTAGAATGCAACCTACAATGAAATGTGTGGTAGAAAACAGATTTTAGAGGCCACCAAAGTAATGCATTTCTAAAGCATTTTAAAAGATGTGTTTTTTCATATCAGATAAATGTAGCATGTGAAGGAGCTGGCTTCAGGCAGCAATTTTTGCTGCAGCAATGCTTTTACAAGCCACTTAAGTGCTGTTAAGTGTATTTCTAATGCTATGATTCATGTATTGTGATACTTCATGGATGATGAAGGAATAACTTTCAAGTTGTCACTATCATTAATGTAAGAAATGGAATTTCTCAATTATGAGAAATGGAATCTCTTAATTATGACTTGGGAACATACAGTACAACTAATGTGATGTTAGATTAAGTGAAGACACTTCTGCAATAATTTTTGAGGATGAACTAAGTGCTCATTTTTTCCCCAAATAAAATATAGCTCTTTGTTGGTGAAAGAGGAGGAATTAATACTAATGGTTTCAAAAATCAACATTCTGTTTTATTCAGTGAGATACAACTTGTATCTCACTCTTGTTCTCATTGTGGTTTCAGAGGAAAAAAAGTCATCCCATTTTTGTAACTTCTGTATTTGTGGATTCATGAATAACATATTCCAGCGGATGTACTGAGAAGTAGAACCACAGTAATTCTGACATCACAAATGGGATTTGGGTGATAACATCTGACTGTTGTTAAAAATAGACACAGAGTTGGCCAATTCCTTCACACTCTTTCCAACTTAAGAGCAGATCTGGCTAAACATTCAGTTCTGCAGTGAACTGAGCTAAAGGTTTATGGGCTGGAAACAAGATAAGGACAATATCATGGAAACATAAAAAAAAGATGCCAAGACAAATTTGTGCTGTGGTTTGATGCAAGGGAAAAAAAGTCTCTCTCCCTCCTTCCCTCCCCCCTTCCCTCCCTCTCTCGCCCCTTTTCCTTTCCCTGTCCCTCTCCCTGTCCCTGTCCCTCTCCCTCCCAATCTCCCTGCCCCTCTCTGTTTCTCTGTCCTCTGCTTTGCTTCCTCATTTTTTTCTGAATCTTAGAGGGTATTCAGAAGTATGGGCAGAAAAAAATTCTTCAGAAAACTCAAGAATGCATCTTGACAGCATCTGTGTACACATCAGCATTTTCTCTGTATGTATATCACACATAGTGCCACCCTCTTCTGCCACCACCACTTCCCCCACCAGCATACTGAGGAAAGGGAGCTAGCTAGCTAGAGCTGTTGAACTTTGGAAACCCCATTGATATTCAGAAGATGATGGCTTTTAATAGGGCTAGACATTTGGAAGGCAGCAGGTAGGCTGCTAGGCAGGTGAGTATTGTAGAGATATTGTTGCTTTATTCCGCACTATTTTGTCTCTTTCCATTCAAACTTGGCATCTCTCACTGACTCGTTCTCAAAACAAGAAAATAATGTCTGCAATTCAACTGAAAATATGTTAAACAGCACCAAAGAGAGATTTTTCCCCTCTTCTTTAAATTGGAATTGAAACAATTTCTTGGAATTGGAATTGGAATGGGAGTTAAATAATAAAAATCAGATAATCCTGGGAAAGGAGAAAATGTAAGAAAGAGACTAAGAATCATTCTGTCTTGATTTTGTTTGATATAAAAGGGGCAGAGAGAAAACTCCAGCAAGCTGCAAATGTTTATGTTATTATACCCAACAACAACAAAGTAAGTTCCAAGAGTTCTTGCAATATCTGTTTCCTGAAGCTAGCCAACCTTGAAAGGCTGACAGAATAAATGATCTGGAAAGTAGTCAGATCCATTGCGAAGAGCTGATTATAATGCCTTGTTTTTTTTCCATTCTATGGATCAGAAAGAGGGGAATTCAGAAAGCAAATGTGCTTCCAGTTTTATCTGACGTCAAAGTGAAAATTCATTCTCAAAAGTCCTCTAAAATCAGAGTGGCTAACCTTGGCAAGTTTAAAAGTTGTGGACTTCCAGAATTCTCTAGCCATCATGGTTGGCTGGGGAATTTTGGCAGTGAAACTCCACAGGTCTTAAAGTTTCCAAGGTTGGACACCTCTTTTCTAGAATATGATATTTTAGCCAAGTAATATATCAAATAATACCATGACATGTGTGGTTTATTACAGAATAATTAAACATTAATTATGTGTGTCTAGTATTTAACAAACTTTTCTTCAGCTATAGTATTGGTTTTGGTAGATGTTTTCATGACCTCTAAAATAGGCACCTTGCTGTGATAAATCTAAGAGCAATTTGTTCTGGACAATTATTTTCAGACGCAAAATACAAGCAAAATTGAAAAGTTTACTTGAGGGCAATTAGAAGTGTTTTTGAAAGTATTTATCCATTACTGCTATTTTTAAAACTATTTATAAACCACTTTGTTAGTTAACCAAGGTTCTCAAAATGGCACACAGCTTGTAAAAAGCAGTATGCTTACATTAGAGTAATAATAAAGTCACAAAATTTCAGCCTGTTTCCATTCTGTCATTGAGAATATGTATCTTTTAAAGGTTGTCATACAAACACAAAATTTTGTCGCTTCTGCAGGTCTAGGTAGTGTCAAACAGGCTGAAAGTATTCACTAAATTTAACTATTTTGATAGTGAATACTGTATGTTGTGTTCTGAATATATAACTCAATACAAAGTAGCTTATGTTCTCTTTTAAGAATTGATATGATAATCTGAGTTTTGATTATTTCGGTCTCCAGAAATGGACTTATGTTAATGGCTAATCTGCCATGCAAAAATTTATTTATTTATTTATTTATTTATTTATTTATTTATTTATTTATTTATTTATTTATTTTATCATATTTATGTGCCGCCCTTCTCCCGTAGGACTCGGGGCGGCTCACAGAATAAAAACAACATAACAATAAAAATGCTAAAACAAGCCAATTTAAAATCCCCAGATAATTAAATTTGCTGAAAAAGCCATGTCTTCAGGTCGGCGTGGAAAGTGCGGAGGTTGGAGGCCGTCCGGAGCCAGGTGGGTAACCCATTCCAGAGGGTCGGTGCAGCCATAGAGAATGCCCTCATCCTGGGGGCCACCAGCCAACATTGTCTGGCCGACGGCACCCGGAGGAGGGCAGTCCTATGTGAGCGCAGTGGGCGGTAGAAGCCCAGTAGGAGGTGGTTCTGCAAGTACCCCAGGCCCATGCCATGAAGGGCTTTATAGGTGAGTACCAGCACCTTGAAGTGGATCCGAAGGACCACCGGCAGCCAGTGTAGGTCACGCAGGAGAAGTGTTACATGGGAGTAATGGGCAGCTCCCATAACAACCCGCACGGCTGCATTCTGGACCAGCTGGAGCCTACGGATGCACCCCAAGGGCAGCCCCATGTAGAGGGCATTGCAGTAATACAACCAAGAAATAATGAGAGCATGAGTGACTGTACGGAGGGCATCCCTGTCTAGGAAAGGGCGTAACTGGTGCACCAGGCGAACCTGTGCAAAAGCCCCCCTTGTCACGGCTGTCAGATGACCGACCAAGGGCAGCCATGAATCAAGGAAGATGTCAAGATTATGAACCCTTTCAGAGGGAGTAAACAACTCCCTCCCCATCAGAAGTGATGGGGATACTAGATCATGAGATGCCGGTATCCACAGCCACTCAGTCTTGGAGCGGTTGAGTCTGAGCCTATTCCTGCCCATCCAGACCTGTACCACCTCCAGGCACTTAGACATCACGGAAAGGGCATCCCTGGGTTGATCCGGGGTGGAGATGTACAGTTGGGTATTATCAGCATACTGATGATACCTCACCCCGAAATTGCGAATAATCTCACCCAGCGGCTTCATGTAGATGTTAAAGAGCAGGGGGGAGAGAACTGACCCCTGAGGCACCCCACAAGTGAGGGGCCTCGGGGAGGATCTCTGACCCCCGGCCCAAACAAACTGTGTAAGGCTCGAGAGGTAGGAGGAGAACCACTGTAAGACAGTGCCCCCCACACCCAACCCCCGGAGCCGTCACAGTAGGATACCATAGTCAATGATATCGAAAGCTGCTGAGAGGTCAAGTAGCACC